AAATGCTCTCTGAGTTTAATTGCAGAAAAGACTTTGAAATCTCGTCACAGAATAATTAATAAGCGGAGTGTAACAATTTCCAAAACTGTACCTACTTCTTATCTCATTTCAAAAGCTCATTACATTGTAAAGATGGAATTCTTATGATCAATATTGAAATCATTATTCTCTGGTGTAGAGTAACTGTAAACAATGGGTGCCATAACGGTTAATGACACGAAAAATGAAGCTCAACTTCTGAATATTTACCCAAGAACACTAACCATGGGTATATAGTACCCAGCGCAAATTTTCCTTTTTTTTAATCACAATTTTCAGTGCCTGATTTTCTTCCCTAATTTATATTTTTCAGTTTCTATTAATGTTAACTCAAAGTACAAGTTTGAATTACCTGCATGTAAAATATTTCAAATAGAAATTTATATTTAATATTTTTTTTGATATTTTCAAAATCGGGTATGATATACCCATGGTTAGTAGTGGTGTAACTTTAATTGATGGTTGGTGTTCTAGGCTTAATATCTTTGTCCGGCTCCATTTCTCTCGCTCCCGCTCGAGTTATGAAGAAAATAAAAGAGGTAGACTGGACTCCCTAGCCTTGATTGGCAATAGAAGAACATAGCTGAATTCAAAACACTATATTGTCGTGCTAGTTATTTGGGGTGTGATTTCTTTGTGGTTAAATCCTGAAGAAAAATTCCCACTAAGGCAGTCCAACAAATTGTTCCAGGCAACTGTTTCAAGTAACTCTTTCAGGCAACTCTTTCAGGTGATATTGGTGCCAAACACTATTCCCATTTAGAAGACTTGACGAATCTCTCTCGTGTGACATTCTAAACTCAAGTAGCGAATTACTAAGTGTAACTTAGATATGGCACAAGGCCGAAAGTATGGAGCAACCATCGAACTCACTACTCTCTCGTAACTGATCAAACGAAACAAATTTGCTAGTCATTAAACCATTGCCCAATGTTCTAAACTAAGATACTCAATCGTCTTGTGAAACGGATGGATGCTTCAGTCAGTAGTTGGGTAGACTTTTCCTTAATTTTTAATCCTTTTAAATTTTTACTTATACTATTACAGCTTATAAAATCTTTGAAAATATATAGATATATTAATGTAGATTATCTTAAGCAAAGGACGATTTTAATCAGAAAGATATTTTTATTTAAAAAAAGTCATTAAACTGAATATTGCTACCACATCTGCTCTGGTGTTTCTGCTATATATCGAGAGATTCTTACGTTCAAAAATGAATTTGCAATGTTATGGTCCTGACATAGCATCTCGGATTGAATTACTTTCCCATAACCGTAATGTTCTCTTTCTATATTTTTATGGAAGTTGCTGTAATAACTTTTCCGCTGATAACTCGGTTTCATGAATTTAAGTGCAATACTAGATTGGTGGCTATCTGTTATCATTGTTCAGCTGAAATTGCTAGATGTAACCGTAAGTTCTATTCTTATAGTTTCTTCTTTGGAACTTCTCGCATTTGGAACTTTCTTCTGGCTGTTTGCTTTCGTATCAACTACGATCGTCTAAAAGATAAATAAAATGTCGAGAATCAACTTCTGTCATTTTGAATCGTGTTCTGGCCACTCTTGTTCTTTCACTCTCAGTAACCCCTTTCGTCTCAGTGGCTTTATCGCCTTGCTTAGGATGAAATGATTAAAAAGGGTTTACTTACTGTTATGGTAATTGTCATGGGTCCTTACCTATAACTACAAAATGAACTCTTCCTAACACTATGTATACTACGCCTCTCAAGAAAGAGGGACGAATCAAGTCGAGCGTCTCGGCTTGACGGTCGAACTCTCTGCCTCTGAGCAGAGAGGAACCCGGACGAGGCTCCGCCGAAGGCAAAGTCTCGTTCGGAGAGGTTGACCAACCCGATCCCGTTTATACGGGTTCTACGGGCATTTTTTGGCCGAGCCTACGGGCTCGGGAAACCCACGTTAAACTTGGCTTTGTGCCACATGCAACCCTCGTGGGGGGGTGGCTAGATACCGAATCGAGTCAACCCGATAGTAGTTCACTCCAAACCAGACTGACAGTCATACTAACACCTTTCACATCTTGTATTATTATTTCGTGTAATATACCTTCGTTATTTCTACTCTTGTATTCGTGTTGTTCTTCCTTGGTCCTAACCTGGAACATAACAGTAATTTACCCACGCACTCACAGACTCTCCCGTCTATAAACAGGAGCAGGTACTGCCTTCTGGAGAAGGAAGTTTCCAGTAGTCAGCTCTGACAGTAGGACCGAACATTTTTGCTGTAACACTCTCGTTCGTATATGTTTGTATTACTGTTTCTGTTGATATATTTGTTTAACTCAATTCCTCTCTTTGTGTCTTTATTTCTGACCCTAACAAAGTCACAACACTTACTCATATTTATATTTAATAAGATTGTGGACATGAAAGTGAGACTAACCTTAGCTCTCGACATAAGAGGGTTCGTTTGTGTCTGGCGTGCAGGGCAGTGATTGGTCCGAAGGAAGAAACACCACCATTACGGTGAGTCGGACTTATGGGAAACGCGATCTTGTAGCCGCGAGAATTGGCGAGAGGTGAACTTGGCCGTATGCAAATTGGTTGGTGTTCGCTGGCATAAATGTGACGGCGGGAGACCACTCGAGAGACTTGTGTGTAGCGAACTACGAGGCAGTGTTGGAATAATTGAGTGCAAAGATCTGTGGAGTTTTGTAGCTAGATTGTTTTGAACAACCTGTCTTGAAGCTGAGGAGTTTTGTTTCTTCCGGAAGTAGGCGGTGCCGGGCCAACCCGTTCCCTTCCTATTGTTTGGACCTAATTTTACTACAAAGATATAACACCGATTTCACTTCTTTTACTCAAATGATTGGTTTCAAACTGATCACACGAGTTTGAATGCGCTGCCAATAAAATAAAAGAGTAATTTTATATTTTTATTAATGTTCACACAAGAGCCACTCAAGATAGAGGGTATATAGACAAACTGTTTGATATGAATGTAAAGGAGAAAGTACGAAATAAAGGTTACAATGATATAAAGGTTAGATAAAGATTAACACAAACATTTAAATGATTGGTTGTTTGTGCCGATCCAGTAAGTACCTGACTCCCCCTGCAATTCTCTAACTTGACAAGCCCAGCTTTTACTTTCCAGTTTCGATAAAGGCCAAAAGCGTGTCCTTTGTGGGTGACAAATTATTTTTAACCTCACAAAACATTTCTCATAGGCAAAACGTAGCAAGGCTCTCGTCGCAAGCCTCTAACGCGTGCCTCGCGTCGCAAGCTACGCACGCAAACCTCTCGTCGCAAGCCACTCACGCAAGCCTCTCGTCGCAAGCCTCTAACGCAAGCCTCCCGTCGCAAGCCACTCACGCAAGCCTCTCGTCGCAAGCCTCTAACGCAAGCTCTAACGCAAGCCTCTCGTCGCAAGCCACTGACGCAAGACTCTTGTCGCAAACCACTCACGCAAGCCTCCTGTCGCAAGCCACTCACGCAAGCCTCTTTGTCGCAAACCACTCACGCAAGCCTCCTGTCGCAAAACCACTCACGCAAGCCTCTCTTCGCAAGCCTCTAACGTAAGCTCTTTCGTTGCATGCTACTCACGCAAGCCTCTAGAGCAAGCCTCTAAGCAAGCCTCTCGTCGCAAGCAAGCCCTCGTCGCAAGCCTCTAAAGCAAGCCTCATCGTATCGTCGCAAAACCACTCACGCAAGCCTCCCAATCGCAAGCCTCTAACGCAATCCTCTCGTCGCAATCTACTCACGCAAGCCCTCTAAAGCAAGCCTCTAAAGCAAGCCTCTCGTCGCGAGCCTCTAAAGCAAGCCTATCGTCGCAAACCACTCACGCAAGCCTCTCGTCGCAAGCCTCTCACGCAAGCCTCTTGTCGCAAACCACTCACGCAAGCCTCTCGTCGCAAACCTCTCACGCAAGCCTCTTGTCGCAAACCACTCACGCAAGCCTCTTGTCGCAAACCACTCACGCAAGCCTCTCGTCGCAAGCCTCTCGTCGTTACTCACGCAAGCCTCTCGTCGCAAGTTTATCGTCGCAAGCCTCTAAAGCAAGCCTCTAAAGCAAGCCTATCGTCGCATACTACTCACGCAAGCCTCTCGTTGCAAGCCTCTCGTCGCAAGACTCTCGTCGCAAGACTCTAAAGCAAGCCTATCGTGGCAAGCTACTCACGCAAGCCTCTCGTCGCGTAAGCCTCTCGTCGCAAGCCTATCGTCGCAAAGCCTATCGTCACAAGCTACTCACGCAAGCCTCTTATCGCAAACCACGCACGCAAGCCTCTCGTCGCAAACCACTCACGCAAGCCTCCGTCGCAAGCCTCTCACGCAAGCCTCTTGTGGCAAACCACTCACGCAAGCCTCTTTGTCGCAAACCACTCACGCAAGCATCTCGTCGCAAGCCTCTAACGCAAGCCTCTCGTCGCAAGCTACTCACGCAAGCCTCTTCGTCGCAAAACCCTATCGTCGCAAGCCTCTAAAGCAAGCCTCTAAAAGCAAGCCTCAGCAAGCCTATCGCATACTACTCACGCAAGCCTCTCGTTGCAAGCCTCTCGTCGCAAGACTCTCGTCGCAAGACTCTCGTCGCAAGACTCTCGTCGCAAGACTCTAAAGCAAGCCTATCGTGGCAAGCTACTCACGCAAGCCTCTCGTCGCAAGCCTCTCGTCGCAAGCCTATCGTCGCAAGCCTATCGTCACAAGCTACTCACGCAAGCCTCTTATCGCAAACCACTCACGCAAGCCTATCGTCGTAAACCACTCACGCAAGCCTCTCGTCGCAAGCCTCTAACGCAAGCCTCTAACGCAAGCCTCTCGTCGCAAGCCACTGACGCAAGACTCTTGTCGCAAACCACTCACGCAAGCCTCCCGTCGCAAGCCACTCACGCAAGCCTCTTGTCGCAAACCACTCACGCAAGCCTCCCGTCGCAAGCCACTCACGCAAGCCTCTCTTCGCAAGCCTCTAACGCAAGCCTTTCGTTGCATGCTACTCACGCAAGCCTCTAGAGCAAGCCTCTAAAGCAAGCCTCTCGTCGCAAGCCTCTAAAGCAAGCCTCTAAAGCAAGCCTATCGTCGCAAACCACTCACGCAAGCCTCCCGTCGCAAGCCTCTAACGCAATCCTCTCGTCGCAATCTACTCACGCAAGCCTCTAAAGCAAGCCTCTAAAGCAAGCCTCTCGTCGCGAGCCTCTAAAGCAAGCCTCTCGTCGCGAGCCTCTAAAGCAAGCCTATCGTCGCAAACCACTCACGCAAGCCTCTCGTCGCAAGCCTCTCACGCAAGCCTCTTGTCGCAAAACCACCACGCCAAGCCTCTCGTCGTAAAGCCTCTCACGCAAGCCTCTTTGTCGCAAACCACTCACGCAAGCCTCTTGTCGCAAAACCACTCACGCAAGCCTCTTGTCGCAAACCACTCACGCAAGCCTCTCGTCGCAAGCCTCTCGTCGCAAGCTACTCACGCAAGCCTCTCGTCGCAAGCCTATCGTCGCAAGCCTCTAAAGCAAGCCTCTAAAGCAAGCCTATCGTCGCATACTACTCACGCAAGCCTCTCGTTGCAAGCCTCTCGTCGCAAGACTCTCGTCGCAAGACTCTAAAGCAAGCCTATCGTGGCAAGCTACTCACGCAAGCCTCTCGTCGCAAGCCTCTCGTCGCAAGCCTATCGTCGCAAGCCTATCGTCACAAGCTACTCACGCAAGCCTCTTATCGCAAACCACGCACGCAAGCCTCTCGTCGCAAACCACTCACGCAAGCCTCCCGTCGCAAGCCTCTCACGCAAGCCTCTTGTGGCAAACCACTCACGCAAGCCTCTTGTCGCAAACCACTCACGCAAGCCTCTCGTCGCAAGCCTCTAACGCAAGCCTCTCGTCGCAAGCTACTCACGCAAGCCTCTCGTCGCAAGCCTATCGTAGCAAGCCTCTAAAGCAAGCCTCTAAAGCAAGCCTCTAAAGCAAGCCTATCGTCGCATACTACTCACGCAAGCCTCTCGTTGCAAGCCTCTCGTCGCAAGACTCTCGTCGCAAGACTCTCGTCGCAAGACTCTAAAGCAAGCCTATCGTGGCAAGCTACTCACGCAAGCCACTCGTCGCAAGCCTCTCGTCGCAAGCCTATCGTCGCAAGCCTATCGTCACAAGCCATACACGCAAGCCTCTTATCGCAAACCACTCACGCAAGCCTATCGTCGTAAACCACTCACGCAAGCCTCTCGTCGCAAGCCTCTCACGCAAGCCTCTTGTCGCAAACCACTCACGCAAGCCTCTCGTCGCGAACCACCACGCAAGCCTCTTGTCGCAAAACCACTCACGCAAGCCTCTTGTCGCAAGCCTCTAACGCAAGCCTCTTGTCGCAAACCACTCACGCAAGCCTCTCGTCGCAAACCACTCACGCAAGCCTCTTGTCGCAAACCACTCACGCAAGCCTCTCGTCGCAAGCCTCTCACGCAAGCCTCTCGTCGCAAGCCACTCGTCGCAAGCCTCTAACGCAAGCCTCCGTCGCAAGCCTCCCGTCGCAAGCCCTCCCGTCGCAAGCCTCCCGTCGCAAGCCACTCACGCAAGCCTCTCGTCGCAAGCCTCTAACGCAAACCTCTAACGCAAGCCTCTAACGCAAACCTCTAACGCAAGCCTCCCGTCGCAAAGCCACTCCTCAAGCCTCTTGTCGCAAACCACTCACGCAAGCCTCTCGTCGCAAGCCACTCGTCGCAAGCCTCTCACGCAAACCTCTCGTCGCAAGCCTCTCGTCGCAAGCCTCTAACGCAAGCCTCTCGTCGCAAGCTACTCACGCAAGCCTCTCGTCGCAAACCTCTCGTCGCAAGCCTTTCGTCGCAACCTACTCACGCAAGCCTCCCGTCGCAAGGCTCTCGTCGCAAGCCTCTAACGCAAACCTCTTGTCGCAAGCTACTCACGCAAGCCTCTCGTCGCAAACCACTCACGCAAGCCTCTTGTCGCAAGCCACTCACGCAAGCCTCTCGTCGCAAGCCTCTCACGCAAGCCTCTCGTCGCAAGCCACTCGTCGCAAGCCTCTAACGCCAAGCCTCCCGTCGCAAGCCTCCCCGTCGCAAGCCTCCCGTCGCAAGCCTCTCGTCGCAAGCCTCTAACGCAAGCCTCTAACGCAAGCCTCTAACGCAAACCTCTAACGCAAGCCTCCCGTCGCAAGCCACTCACTCAAGCCTCTTGTCGCAAACCACTCACGCAAGCCTCTCGTCGCAAAGCCACTCGTCGCAAGCCTCTCACGCAAGCCTCTCGTCGCAAGCCTCTCGTCGCAAGCCTCTCGTCGCAAGCTACTCACGCAAGCCTCTCGTCGCAATCTACTCACGCAAGCCTCTCGTCGCAAGCCTCTCGTCGCAAGCCTCTCGTCACAAACCACTCACGCAGGCCTCTCGTCGCCTTAAAGCCTATCGTCGCATACTACTCACGCAAGCCTCTCGTCGCAAGCCACTCACGCAAGCCTCTCGTCGCAAGCCTCTCACGCAAGCCTCTCGTCGCAAGCCTCTCGTCGCTAGCCTCTAA